CATGCTCCAACTCTTTCAGCCCTCAGGACAGGACCTGGCAACTGAGGAAGACAGATACACAGGGAAGACCAGCAAACCACATTCTCTCTTGGCCTTTGCTCACTGATACCCTCTTTAAATGTCTGGTTGTACTGGGGAAAGAAAGGATGTGGGAGTGAGATTCCTATCCTTTTGAGATAGGAATACAGAGTTTACAATTTTACACATGCCCAGCAGCTGGACCCCTAGTTGCCAGGAACAAGAGAGTTTCCATTGCAAAAGCTGCGGTTGTGAAGCAGAGGCTTCCTAAAAACACACAGATGAATATATAAAAAAGAAACCTCTCTCAAGAAATAAGAAAATAGCCAGACGTTGGTGGTGCATGCCTTTTATGCCAGCACTCGGGAGGCAGAGGCAGGTGGATCTCTGTGAGTTCAAGTCTACCTGGTCTACAAGAGCTAGTTCTGAGACAGCCTCCAAAGCCAGAGAGAAACCCTGTCTCAAAAAAAAGGAAGAAAGAAGAAAATATTATCCAATAGCCTTAAAATAAAAAGTTCTGGAAACTCCATAAGGAAGATTCTGGCCTTTGGAAAACAGAGAAAACCTGGAGAATCAGATTCTGGGTCACAGGAAGGGACCCTGGGGATAGAGTTAGTCATTCCAAAAATCAGCCAGGATTGCTGGTCATGCTTAGACATCCCAACCCATTGACTGACAAAACTCACTGTAATTTGAGGGACAGCTCAAATTAATGTTGGAGAGCTTACAACAGACAGGATCTCTATTGCTTTTCTACTGCATGTGCCAAGCGTGAGAGCTTCCAGGAATTCTCTTGTCTCTGCCTCACCTCTGCACTCCTGAAGCACCAGGATTACTGGCACATTCGCTGTTGCCTGGCTATTACATGGTCCTAGTGATCCAACTCAGGGCCTCACACTTGCACAGCAAGGCCTTCAGTCACCATGGAGCCATTTCCTCAGTCCTTGACTACAACTTGAGTGATTTCTTTTAACTGTGGGTTTGCAATGCCTGTGTGTAGATGTGGGTATGTGCACTGCATAGCAAAGGCCAGAGGGCAGCTTTGGGGATCAGTTCTCTCCTTCTACCTCTATGGGGGTTCACGTTGTCAGACATACTAGAAAAGTTCTGTTGTCTGCTGAACCATCTTACTGGACCTTCAGTGAATATTCAAGGACATTGATGCAGAGCAAACTTCAGCTTCGTTCAGGATTATTAGTGAAGCTGGCTTTACATTGCAGCACTTCATGCATCTTCTAGAACAATGGCTGTGCTGTAAGAGACTCAAAAAATTTGCTATAAAGATACGAGAATAGCCGGGCGGTGGTGGCGCACGCCTTTAATCCCAGCACTCAGGAGGCAGAGGCAGGTGGATCTCTGTGAGTTTGAGACCAGTCAGGTCTACAAGAGCTAGTTCCAGGACAGCCTCCAAAGCCACAGAGAAACCGTGTCTCGAAAAACCAAAAAGAAAAAAAAAAAATAGGAGAATAAAATTTAAGATGGGAACACTGAAACTGAAGTGCTAATATGAACTCATGGTCATTTCCTAAGGTAAAAACTTTTAGTTGCACAGCATATGTACACAGAGGTGAAGGGCCTGTGTACAGTGTGAATTCTCACACACTGACGACATCTCTCATCAGCATCCAAACCAAGTGACCAGACTCTGCTGTCCTGAGAACCTTCATACTGCTTCTGTCACTACCACTCCTGGGCAGTACACCCCTCCCTACCCACTAACCTGCCTTCCAACTACATAGACAAGGTATTGATTTTTATACTTGCTATACCAGGAGTCATAGACTATGGTTGTTTGGTTTTTATGACAGGGTCTGTAGCCTAGTGGTGGTGGTGGCGGCAGCGGCGGCGGCACACACCTTTAATCCCAGCACTCAGGAGGCAGAGGCAGGCGAATCTCTGTGAGTTTGAAGCCAGCCTGGTCTACAGAGTGAGTGCCAGGATAGCCAAGGCTACACAGAGAAACCATGTTTTGAAAAACAAAAACAAAAACAAACAAACAAACAAAAAACCTAAAGACCAGAGTCTCATGTAGCCCAGGCTGGCCTTGAGCTTGCTCTGTGGCTAAGGCTGGCGTTGAACTCCGGGCTCTCCTGTCTCTACCTCTCAAATTCTATGATTTTAGGTGTATGCCACTGAGCCACATACGCAGTGCTGGGGATCAAACTGGGGACTTCCTGCATGCTAGATGAGCACCCTACCAACTGAGCTACAAGTCCAACCCAGGATGACATCTTTTATGTCTCATTATTTGGCTCAGAATTATGCTTTGGGGCTATATTTGTATTGTTGCCCAGACATAGGTTGTTCCTTAGGGTTCAAACTTCTAATTGCTTCAGAAAAGCATCAGGCCAATAAGGCAGACTCTGGAACCAGTTGCCACACCCCAGGAATGGACCTATGTGTGACGGTATAAGGGCTAAACTGCCGGCTACTTTAGCCTCCTATTTCACTTGTAGCAGTAGTTACTAATTGCTAACATCCTACACACTCATGGGCACTGAGTGACAAAATGCACTTGAGATAATAGTGAAGCAATTAAATAAATCTGAATTATTTCACTGTATTGATAGGATTTTAGTTTCATTTTATAATGAAGGTACTAATTTTAATACATTGTACTTAAAATTCTCATTGAAATATAGTAACCCCCCCTTAAAATGCACCGCCTAGTAGCCAAGTTTGGAGGTGCATGGCCGTAATCTCAGCACTAAGGAGGCTGAGGCAGAAGAAGTATAGTGAGTTTGAGGCAGGCGAGTGACCTGCTATCTCT